TGCTCCTTTGGAATGTGTTTGGAGATTGTTTACCCACAGGTGATTGTTTCATTGGATTCTGCTGTGAGTTGTTTTCTTTCTTTGGCCAATCTGCCAAGCTGTGTCCAGACTCTGGAAAGAGTCACAAGTTTTCATTATTATCTTTTTAGCATTCTGTAAGTATCCTTTCTGTATTCTTTAGTATAGTATAGTATTCTTTAATATAATATAGCATCATAAAATAATAAATTAGCCTTCTGAGAACATGGAATCAGATTCATCATTCCTCCCTGCCACGAGGGTCTCTGCAAATACAACAACTGTGTATCCCTCCAGAATGACAGCCAGATGAGTCTGAGGATTTGGGGATTGTAATCTGTTATTGGATGTGTTTTAGAACTTGATCCCTGCCTAGATCAAATTCCAGACTTCCAAAGGATGGGAATCTGTCCCAGCTCTGATCACTGATTCTTGATTCAGTTACTTAGACTCCAGCTAGCTATGCTTTTAACAGTGGTGGTTCTGGTCTGTTTTCCTGGATTTCAGCCAAGATTATGGCTACTATAATGATACTTATGAAATTTTAATTGCCTATTTGCCTTTAGACTCAATCTAAAAACATCCCAGGATTACAAATGAGGAATTAATTTACAAGGTATTTTAAGGGCAGACATGAGTAAGCTTTTAGCTGAAAACTGTGCAGTCACAGCTAGTGCAACATCAGGATAGTACTGCACTACCCAGTTTGCAATTTCTAGCACTGTCATTCTAGAAAGGAGAAAAAAATGCATAAAGGAGAAACTACATCCATCAGCTTGCAAATACCTTGTAAACATGAATTCACATTAGAGATGCAGTTTTCAAACACAAATGTGTGAACATACATCCATCTTTAAGGTATTAAATCATAGAGATTTTAATGTCAGAATTATTGATTCTCAATGAGATCCAAGTATTGATGTCATAAAAATCATCCTGAATTAATCTCCTGCCTGAAAAGGGCTGATTCATAAAGCAGAGAATGGATCTGGAGGCCTCTGCACGTGGGTCTTCTGATTTCTGTAGTTTGAGAGCCCTGATGCAGACTTTGGATAATAAACACCTTTTTGAAGGAAAAATAGGTAATCAAAAAACTTCCAGTTTTAGCAATCTCACTTTCTTTAGTTTCCTCAATTTGTCTTTCTCCAAACAGCCTTTGCAAGGAAACTGTTTGTCAGCTGAGGGATCTCTCCAGTGTTAGAAGAGGCCTCTGGACTCTGAACCTGGGAAAAATTTCCCAGGTTCCAGACTGGGAAATTTGGGAAATAAGAGATTTGTTCCCCTCTAGTTTAAAGCCCATTCAAGTGCCTGCATATTTAATTGCTGCAGAGTACTCAAGACATCCCTGTGGAATTTGCAAGCAAGTTAAAGTTGCAACTCTTATGTACCCTGAAATATCTCCTGCACAGCTTTATTCCCCAGAGATGTGTGTGCAGGAGGGTGCACAGACAACACACAGGGAGAGTGCAAGCCAAGGATGTCAAGGTAATGATAACCCTTCCTGAATATTACCATGGGATTTTTAGATGCTTCTCAGCTCCCAGGGAGATGCAGTAAGATAAGACCCCAATTTAGCATCTCATCCAAAAAGCAGTAAGTGGTTCTGACAGTGCAGGTCTCCCTAAGATCTGTGTGGGAAAGTCAGACTTGGACGTGAGCCCAGCCTTAGGGCTGTGCTGAAACTCAAGATTTTTGGATCCTAGAATGACTTCAGGCAATCCATACTGTGACAGATAGGGACTGTGGGATTTGGATTTAGTGACAAGGAAATTGTTCCTAAAATTACTGGAAATTTTATACTGGGAAATATACTTATTTAATTTAATACTGGGAAAATGGAAGGAGGAACAATTGCAATTATTTGCTGCTACCAAGATAGGTGAGAGCTGTTCAGGGAACAAAGGCAGGCTTTGCTGCTCAGTTTGGTCACTCTGACACATCCCAAGAGCTTTACATTGGAAGGAAAAGAAAGCTTGCTGTGTGAATAGCTCATATATCAGAGTGTGGGAGAATGAGACCAGCTTTAGGTAGTTTGACTTTATTATACATCACATATGCCTGGAGCCCTCTATCAACACTCCAGCCTTGCAAACACAGTCCCTGCCTCGAGATCTCACAGCCCAGGGTCACAGGGGTGACAGGGGTGGCAGCCAGAGGTGTGGGCAGGGACATACAGGTATGACAAACACGTTTGCATGGCATCCACAGCCCCAGCCAGATTCAGCCCCCAGCTCTCCTTCCTGGGATTCGTGGCAGAGGTAAAGCATAAAAGTGTGGTTGATAGAAGACAAGATGGTACCTTGTGGGGAGATTTTTGCCATGATTTAGGGGGCAGGCTATGAGAAAACATAAAAGTGTCTGCAGGAGAAATGACAGAATCTGTTTTCTTTAGTGAAGGAGAAAGTTTTCTGTAGTGACAGGATATTAGATTTAAGAGCCAAGGAGAGACCAAGCAGTGAAGAAGCTTAGAGGTAAAGGCTCGAGCTTTTCTTCCAATCCCACAGAAATATTTATAGTATCAAGACATGTGCTATCAAGATGAAAAAATGAAATCTCAGTAACAGTACTTTGATGGTTTTTAGCTGCTGGGGATTTTGAAAAAAAAATCCATTGTGTTTGACTTCATTATAGAAAAGAAGCTATAAATTCTCCCTGCTTTCCTCATGAATGATCCCCAAGGGCAGCTGGGGAGTCAAGTTGTTCCAGCTTTCACACAAATGTCACTTTTCACACTCAGCCCGTGGTGCCTCATGAGCACCACTGCAACTTTGGGCACACCAGTGAAATCACCACTGAGGGTGCTGTGCAGGTGCTGTATAGTTCCAGTCCTGGTGTGAACTTCCAGTTTTCAGGTGTCCTTGAGCTAGCATCTCTGTGACCTGTGCTTTGTGCATCAGGCATATAAGAGAAGGAAAGTTTTTGTTGGGTTTATAGTGTTCTGTTGGTGTTGTGCCTCAATAACTTTAACATGAGAGCTGTTCCTACTCTGCAATTCCATGAACAGACTATGCAATGTATTTTTGTTGTGTGAAGCTTCGTTTCAAAAACCAAATGATTCTAAATCAGAAAGCCAGAAATTATCAAAATTTGAAAACTGCCAAAATAATATTTTTCAAAACATTTTCCAAATAAAAATTTCAAAACTTTCAAAAATTCAAAACTTTCCACTGTGCCCTGGCAGCCAGCAGGGACATCCCTGTCCTGGGGACATCAGGGACAGCACGGCCAGCCGGGCAAGGGAGGGATTGTCCCGTCAACTCAGGACATTCTGTGAAAAATGTGCTGAAATGGAACGTCTGCCTGCTATATGGAAGATCTCCTCCTTGGTGAACCTGATATTTTCCACTTGAGAAAATTTTAGCTTCAGTGAAAAGAAAAACTGGTGCTTAACAGAGTGCAGAGTGGAAAGAAGTGAATAAAGAGGAAATGTGTTTAAAACACTGAAATAGAAGTTGTTCCTTGAAGGATAAATAGATCTAAGACAAGGCTAAAGAAGAAACATTGCAATATTTGTTACGGGATGCTAAGAGCAAGCAATTTAGCATCGAATGGCAGAAACAGATTTTTAAAAGTTTATTTAGTGGAATTGGAAGCCCACTGCATGGGTCTAGAAGAGTGAATCAGTGATAACACTCAAGGTACCAGGACTGGCTGCTTGGTGTAACTGTTGTGATAGAGAAAGCACAGGATATAGGAGAACATTTACTGGGAATGATTAGACTAAGAAAAGGCATATATAGAGAGGGGGGCAGGTGGTGTGTGTGTATGTGTCTGTATATGAATATCTATGTTATTTATCAGGAAGACAGGCCAAGGTGTGAGGTTAGAGAGCAGAGAATGATCATGAATAAAGTTTTGCATTTGTAATTTATGTACAGGCAGATACTAAATCAGACCAAAAGGTTATTTCTGCAATGCTACATCTTGTTTTCCCAAAGGAACAGTCTCTAAAAATTATTTTCCCCTGATTTCTGTTTTTGTGATGTATAAGGATGGCAGTACTATAATTAATCCCCTCTTGACTCTGCTCATAGATGCTGTAACTTCATGCAGCAGCATAGTTACACACTGAACAAGCTGAGATTTTAACTTCTTACTTACCAGAATTAATGGGAGCAAACCATTCCTCTTGGGCTGTACAGGAGAGACAGGTTATACAGAGCAAGTTGAAAAGAAAAATGTTAGCCAGCAATTCAGTTGTAATTCTGAGAAGGAGTTTCTGCTCATAAAAAAAAAGGTTGTGTGCCTGACCTTCCTGGGCACAGAATGCCCCCAACTTTCACCACAAAATCATTGAAGATTGAGTGTCCTCTGAAACAGCTAAAGCAAACACAGTACATAGTCCCTTTGAAGGTCTGTGCACACTCCTCAGTGCTGTGCCTGCCCTCAGCTGGGATCATTCTCTCTCAAAAAAGCACTGCTAGTGTCTAATTTGTGATGGGAAATATGTTTTTTGGGGTGATGTAATCCCTAAACTTAGCTTTGATTTGACAAAATCTCTTTTATCATCTTCATTCCACTTTATCATTGCCTGCAGTCAGTGCAGTCAGTGTTGTCCTGGAGTGCAGCTCACAGGGCACTGAAAAGGGGATGGAAGTGCAGGGTGGAAAAGAGGGGTTCTGAGTCTGGGCTCAAGCTCCCACTCAGAGTTTTGGTGGCTGCAGCTGCTCCTGGCAGAAACACCTGGGAAAGCAGGCAATGCCCCCTATAACTCAGAACCATTCAAATGGCAGGCAGTGCACTGAGCAATTCCTGAGAGCAATCCCTGCTCTGTCCTCATCTCCCAAAAAAGCAGCTGTAGTTCATCATGGTGATTTTCAAGCTCTGGGGAAGCAGCTTGCTTGAACCAGGCACCCCATCCAGCTGCTCAGACCTCAGGAAGACCACTCAGCAGACTTCAAGAGAGATTAATCAAATGGCCTGGCTTTGAAAGCCTTACCCAGAGCAGGTGAGTTACTGCTGGATCCTGCATGTCAGAGCAGAACATCCTTCCCCAGACCCGGGCTACACAGCCTGTGCCTCTTTAAATCTGCGCTGCGTGCTGCAGAGCTCTGCATTGTTGCCATGGCAGAAATCTCCCCATAGTAATAACCTCTTTCAGAGAAGGTTAAAAAGAGACAGTGCACATGCTCAGAAATGCTGCACTTGTTCTCTTAGCAGTTTGCAGCGGCCATTTCAAAGAAACCATCACAAAGACAAGAGAAAGATCAGGTACTGATATTTTTTCCTTTGTTAAAGGGGGTGATTTTCTCTTTCATAGAAGTCCGTGCACAGATCTGTCTCTGTTCCCAGCTGCACTGCAGAGAGAGACCACCCTTGAAGCCTGTCATGATTATTCCTTGCAAATTCCCATGCAAGAACTAAGAGGCAGGAGTTAGGCGTGATTTAGGATGATTGCTGCACTAGAGGAGCAGTTGTTTTGTAGTGGGGCTCACCTACAAAGCTGAGCTGACTCTGGGGTGGGTGATGGGTAAGGTACCCCCAAAAAAGTTTAACAGTGTGTCTGTTTTGTTTTGTTGAACCTATGTAGCACTTCATCAGGTGCTTCCAAAAGAGGCTGGTGTTGTCCTAATTTACTGTTACTTGGAGACACTCTGCTGTATCTTATTGCAAAGACTGATGTTTTTGATTGTACTTGTTTTGATTGCAAATCACCATTAATTAAAACAGAAAACCCAAGCCACTTGTAGTGATTTAATCTCTTTATTTTAGGGATTGTAGAGATTAAAAAAAAGGGATCGTATCAGATCTAAATAGTGGGTGTGACAGGAAGCCCAATATGAGGGTATAGAAATTATATTACCCTATCTTTTTGTTGCCATGGGCTCAAGTATATCTGTGACTCTACTTGTACAGGTTTATCTCTTGCTTCTGAACCATTCCCTGCTCCTGTGTTTAGGTTGAGGTGCACAGGGAGGGGATGTGAACAATGCTGCTCCTTCCCTGGGTGAATTGCTGGTGTGCACATGCTGCAAGTGTTCGTACAGAGTTTGCAGCTTCACTTTAGCTGTGTCTGAAAAGTGGATTGCACATATTGAAGGGCAGCCTTGTTCTGTTCTGGGTTTGTGGCAAAATGGGGAAAACCCTTCCCTTTCCTGCCTCCCTCTACTGCCTTTCTAAATGTGAAATACAATCTGTTCTGGGGAGTGCTGTACTCTTGCATTCAGTACATGCAGATCTAATGCTCTTATGCAACATCTTTTGCTCAGTAAGCACCAACTTGAAAATCAGAAAGAGGCAGGATGTTGTCCTGCTTTCCCACAGTTAGCTGAATGGAATTTTTTATGTGGATTTTATTGTATTGCCATAACTTAGTCTTATTTTAGTCTGTTTCATCCATTTTGATGTATAGGAATGAAAGGTAAACTTGGCTAAAGACCTCCCTAGCAGTGTGCCAGAGTCCTTGAGGCTTGGATTGGGACCTCTAACCAGCAGTTGCAACTTGAGCCAGTCCCTTTTGCTCTGAACAGTTCACCTGTTGTGTCAAGAAAATACTTAATTTGAAACTTATAAAAAACTTGCCTCTGTGAAGGAAAACTGTTGCTGGACCAGGTTGCACCAAGGTCTGGGCATGGTGTGGCCTGGCTGTGGTGCTCAGGAACAAATGGATGGCTGCAAATAATGGCCTGAAACCCAGATTAGGAGGGGAAAAAGAAGGTCAGAGTTTTGATACATTTACCATTAAAAATTCTACCTATGAATTTGTGGAGGTTTAACAAAAGTATTTTCCTTCAAATACTTTCATAAAGGCATTTTTATAATTAGTGGGCTCTGTAATGCTAGTGATTACCTTTAGTTATTTTACTTTTGAAAAGATGATGCAGTAAAGCAAGACAAAGGCCAAAGACCTTGTTTCCAGGTTCTCTCTGTAATTCCTGAAGTTTTGATCTCAAAATATAACTGTGAACCAGCTCTCCAAATTCATGTCTGTGACTGTGTGGTTAGAAAAGTCACAGACCAGGCAAAGCTGCTGGCATCCTGGCCTTCAAATGAAACCAAGGACACTCTAGGGACTTCTTATCTAGTGCAGGGATGTTCTCTCCCAGCTGAGTTTTATGTACACTCTGGAAAGGTACAGAGAACTCTTTTCCATGCTCTAGATCTTCTGGGGTTTTGTTTTCTTTCAGAAGAAGACTGACAATGCTTTAGCCATCATGGACATGAACTTCTTTGTGACAAAACCCTTGTGTATCTCTAGGGTTCCTCACTAACTTGTTTATGTCTCTTGACAAGCAGAGAAGCACCCATTCCCAAGATGCTGGCACCCTGCCTTCTGAGGAGAGCTGTCCTTACAGTTCCTTTGGTTTTTGTGGTTGCACTTCTTGTCACGGAGCCTGTCAGAGCTGACCAAGAAGCAGGAACAGCCATACCAGCTGAAAGTAAGTGCCACCCTGCAGTCTTCTCCTACAGCCTCATGTTGCAGGACTCTGGTTTGCCCAAATAATTCAAGCTGTTTTGGATATATCTTGCCTACTTTGTTTTAAAACCACAGCCTGATCATCTACCAGTGCTGTTTTGCTCCTGCATCCAAAGCTCTTCACTCTTATCTTTGTCTCTTGCTTTTTTGCTGAAATCTGCCACTGTTCCGCACCTTATCTTTGGTCCTTTGTTAGCCCTTTCTATGCCAGCAATCACCATGTTTGCTTTTCAGAGGCATTACTGAGACTTGTTCTTTTTCAACTGACATTGTCTGTTCATTATATTTTGTTCTTGAGAATGCTTGTTGTTTTAAAGTAATGAATTTTTATTTTAAAAAATCACAGTGAAGATGCCAATAAAGCATTTGTCAATACCTAGTACTGGGGCCTTCAACCATCTAATTCTCCTTTGCTGATCTGTGTTGAGTTTATTTTACTTTATAAGCATAATGGACAGGTCCTTCCATCAAGTTGTTGATGTGAAAAACTGCTATCCTCTCCTTTTGCCCAGTAAATACAGTAGCACTGAAGTTGGGTGATGGTACAACAATGATGGAGCACATTTTTAATACTGTTTAATGTAAGGGTTTTATATATAGATTTTTTTTTCTTAGCCAGTTAAAGAATTTGGCAGGCTCCCTTTGTCCAGCAGGCAGAATTCCTGGTTGCTGTTAGCACTCAGATTGTGAGCTGGAAGCTCATTGTCCAGCGTGTCAGAGGCACGTGCAGTCCAACACCCAGTGTTTCCAAAATGGGCTTACAGACAGGACACAGACACAGCAGCATTCCCCAGCATTAGCCTGGAGTTCCTCCTTTCATTCACAGCAGAACCCAAAGAGCAAACTGAAGCTGGGCTGAGAATTTCTCTCTTGTGCAGTATTTCTGGTGAGGTTGTCAGCCAGGCACAGGCAAATGAGAGCAGGAGAGCCTGATGAGCTCAGGGTGTTTGGTCCTGTCTGAATTTTCTGTCTCAGTACTGCTGTCTGTGAGGGCAGTGTTACATGGTGAACAAAGCAAAGAAAGCCTTGTGGCCTTCAGTCTGAGTATTTCAATCTGGGAATGCTCCCTTAAACACCCCAATAAATCCAGATTGCAGCAGTTCTGCTTTCCAGCAATGCCTGCTGATAACAGGGCATTTGCTTGGGCAAAGCTGTGGATATTCAAAGTTAGAAGCCAAAGTGGTCTGCCTTTATGATATTGTAGTTGGTTTTATTTTATTAGTTTGCTTTTTAGAGCTCGCATTTGTTAGACTAGGAGACAAGTTTTTTCTAGGGAACAGGTTCATGTTTTCAGACAGAAATTCTGAAAAATCTGAATATAAGGTTGAAAATGTACCCAGGGTTAGTGGAGCAAAATGAAAGGCTCAAGTTAAGGGTTTAAAGTTTCCATACAATGAGTATGTGGAACAGCAATGTAGCAGGAAGAAAAATATTAATGTAAATTTGAAGTAATTCTTTTATAATTGAGAGACTGGGCGAACCAACACAGTGAACCAATTAAAATTACCTGGGTTGTTCAGGAGTGCCAGCATCAGTACTTACCCTGTGGACTCTTTTCTGTAGCTCTTCCTGATACTCAAAATCACTGTTTGCTCCTTCTAGTTAATTCTTCATGCCATACAGTCATGATTCTCTACTGAATGCTCTCCTAGGCCGCCCCTGTGTTGATTGCCATGCCTTTGAGTTCATGCAGAGAGCTCTGCAGGATTTGAAGAAGACAGCATATAATCTAGACACAAGGGTAAGGAAACATTTAATGTCTTTTTTTCCCCCAATATAAAAGAAAATTTGGTGCATAAAATTAGGTAAGGTGGATGGATTCTGCACACTCTGTGAACTGTGCTGTCCTGTGTTTCAAGGTGAGGCTGGTTAATTACATTCCACCTGTCTATGCAATAATCAGTGGAATTCTTCTGGTTTGGGGTGTCAATACCCCAAAGTATCGATATTGATATATCAATATATCAATTGATATATCAATATATATCAATACCCCAAAGTATTGATGTACGATAGAAAGTATAGGGAAGTGTGAACTGACTATCCTTCTCTTGCCAAATTAGAGCCATTAGTGCTGCTTTTCTCACTCCAAATGCTGAGCACACACCTTTGTTTTTATGTCAGGGGGAGTAAGGTGAGAGTATAATTTATATTTATAACCCAAAAGGAAAGAGCCAGCTCAAACAAAAAGCCTACTAAAATAAAATACTCCCCTGCATTTGCTTTTATCCCCGGGGAGAAACTAAGGGAGGAAACATGATCCATAGAGAGTTTTTACATTTCTCTGATTTCATAATGATGAAAAATGCCACAAAGTAGAACAGCATAGGGAATGAAACTCGTCTGGCTTGCAGTCAGTGTGCAGAATCTGCCAGGGCTGGTACCTCCCTTCTGTGGGGATGTTGGATGTGTCTCTTGCTGTAGCAGCCTGCAGTCTGTGCCCACCTGTGTCCCAGCTGCTGTCAGATGGTGCTGTCCCAGGAAGGTGGCTTTGTCCCCACCTCCTGTGTACCCTTTGAGTGCTAGAGATACACTCCTGCACAGATTGTTCAACAGAAGGCACTGAAACCTTTCTGCTTTTCTGATTTATGGTCAAGGTTGTTCACAGGTCAAAGCCTGTGAACTGTTGTCTTTGAGGAATGGTTTGAGGTTACTTCAAGCAGGGTCCTTGATGTTTAGGTGAAAATAAAAGTGCATGAAGGAAGATGCCTTGAATTGTGACACACTACAAAAAAAATAAACAAACATTCCAGCAGAACCAGATTGGTGTGTAGCACATTTACAGCTAAACAAAATCTGTTCAATAATTACAGGTCAAATATATTTTGGGCTTCATGAAGAAATCTTGCTAATGAATCTGCTGAGCACTTTATGCAGCCCAAACAAGATGTTCAGATTGTGCTGTGAAGTGGTTTTAGCACGCCTCTTCCTACTACAAACCTTTGAACTTTTCATCAGAATTTCTACATCTTGATGCAAAATCTCTTAAAGTTTTCTATGGGTATCTGGCTATAGTGGTGACCTTCATTAAACCTTCAGCTTGCAGACCAGGAGAAAAACTGTAAAACACAGATATCCAAAGCAGAAGTAGCATTAAGAACCCCAAAGATAGCAACTGTGTTTTAATAGTTTTTAAAAAATAAAAATTAAAGACAGCCAAAGAGATAACATGAGGATAGAAAAAAATTCAGTTGAGATGGATGGCCTATTATTGGCTTTCACACTTGTAGATTTGACAGCAAGCCTGAAAATGTGATATATTCCCATGAAAACAAACCTATCACCTCCTTATCACTTTAAAATCTAAATAATTAAATTCATATTGAAATCCTTCAGTTCCCCATGACTAGAACAGGCCTATTCCAGTCATTCAGCTAGGAATTCTGCCTACATCCTTAAAAGACATGGAAATATTTAATAGCTGAGGTCTTCTTGGAACTGTCTTCTAGGGTATTTTGATTCTTACTTTTATTATTCAGCTGTGTCACAATTTAATGCAAACTAAGGGCTTTAGGACCACTGGTTTCAGCCACATATATTTCACATTTGACTGTTTTAGTCTGTTTTGCTCCTTTGTGGGGTAAATATTCCTGTCCCTGAAAATACAATTCCCTTTGTTAATATTCCCACTGGAGACATTAATTTCCTTTGTTTGCAGGCAAGATTGTTAGATGATGACTAAGCAGCTCCTAACTGTGTTGGAGGGGGAGGGATTCCCAAAAGCTTGAAGAGGAAATTCTCATTTAATTCCTCCTGCACATCTTACCCTGCAGTTCTGTACAGGGGAAGCCTGTGTATAATTTTATTGCACAAGAATATTGCTCAAGAGCTTTCACACTTCATTTGGCCCTGGGTTGGTCTGCATGGTGGCTCAAAGCAAACTGACTCTAGCAGAGGTCACAGACCCTTTCATGAAGCCACAGACCAGATCTCCTTCCTTTTCCAGTACCAAAAGGTTTTTGTCACCTACCCTGGTGTGATGGTCCCTCACTAATTGTCAGGCTGGCTGCATCAGAAGGGTCACAGACCACTTCTGACAGGCTGATTTCTACACATAGCACATCTGTTTACCCCTCTCTCCTGTTTTTTTTGTTGCTGCTGGTCCCTCAGAGCAGGCTGGCGTAGTTGTTTTGGCAGTGAGAATTAACTCTGGGCAGTGTTTTCTGGGAATATCTGTGGTTCACCACTCAGCCAAAGTGCCACATGTGACCATGAAGTGGGGAGAGGAGCCTTGTGCTGCTGGGAGGGAGCTGCTCCCACCACAATCACTGCTCTTTATTGCTTCATAAACTCTCTGTGGTTGTTTAGAATGTTTAAAGCACAGTGAGCTAGATGTGTCCCTGAAAATAAAAAGAAAGGCTTGAAAATGTTATTAAAGATATATAAGATGGTAAGCAGCCTTGGGGCTCAGCTGCAAAAATGTTGGCATGCTGTCCACCTCCCTTATTCAAAGCATGGCAAATGATGTCAGTGAGGTGGTGAGAAGGTGGTGACTGAGTGTCTTTTCAATGATTAGCAAAGTCTGATCAGATCTTTTCAGCTTTGCAGGGCAGCTGAAACAATCAAAAGTGATATGTGATTTAATATAAAACCGCAGGGTTGTGTTTTTTTCCTGAGATTTATCATCTGGGGGAAAAGAAAGCTTGGGCAGCAGATGGCTTTTCCTGCACAAAGAAGGCAAGTGCAGAGCAGGATGCTTCAGTCCAGCTCTGCTCTAGGTGCCTTTAGCTGAGGAGGGTCAATGGATAACACAGCTTTTAAACACAGCCTTTAATCACATGGCAGCTCCATCTCATACAGAAGTGGCAGGTCAAGATGGGTTTGATTGGCATTTAGAGCTGGTAGTGTTCATAATGCCTTTTTTCTGTGCCTGTCTATGGTAGCTGGTTACACCAGGAGGGATTTGTGGTATTTGTGAGGTGCCCTGACCTCATACCACTACTTCCAAACTGGAGAATAAAAATAAAATGGACTTTTCTTTGGGAACTCATTAGTTTTACAATGCTGACATTTGCTTTTTGACGATGTTCTTCCTCCCTCTTACAGACAGAAACTCTGCTTCTTCAGGTGGAAAAGAGAAATCTGTGTGACTGCATATCTGCCAATCTACTGAACTGAATCCTGGAGACCCTGAGGAGACTCACCTGTCCAGCAGTTTTTAAAATGCAGCTGTATAAAATACAGCTTTATGGAGTTCATGTGGCAAGCATGTTTGTCCCAATGTACTGATGAAACTGGGGTCTGTGTCTGATGTATTTGTCTGTTCTGCATCTTTTTTTAAAAGTACCCTCTTTTCACATCAGCTGGATTGCCAGTAAAGGCTCAATTCAGTACATCTGTTACTTGATATTAGGGTGAGGGGGAAAATGTACCTACTTTGATTTTTAAATCAAAATTTGCCAAGTGTAACTCCCCAAGATAATTTTGGAGAACAGTGCCCTAGAGACACATGCAGCTGTTTTTTGTCTTTAATATGAACATAAGTCTGTGGCAACTTACCCAGTTACATTGAGACATGACACTGTAGTCTCTGTAGGCTTTGCCTGTGTATTAAAGATGATGAAGTCCTTTCTGTTTGTTTGTGCTGTGCCCACCTCCAGGCACGTTGTAGTTCTGTCAGCTGTAATGGGGTGTGTGTCATGAGGAGCTACACATCTGCTGTTCTTGGACCAAACCAGTTTATATCTCAGTGCTGAGCCTTCTGCTATCCTGCAGAAGAGTGTTTTCTTTAATTAAAATGTTTGGTTTCTTCCTTTCCTTCCCTGGGCATTCTTAACCTAGTGAATTTCTGAGTAGTTTTACTTTAGCAGGTCAGATGGACAGAGTGAAAAGGAGAATCAGGGTATGACAGGGCAGCCTGGCCAGTTCCAGCTGTGCCAAATGCTGCCACCTGCAACTGCTCAGCATTACACTGGAGGACAGCTCCATGCAATGCCAAGAAGTTTCTTCAGGAGACTGTGACTTTTTTTGCTTCAAGTGAAACACAGGGATTAGGTCACACATATTTGGTCCATCCTGTGATGGACTGAACTCCAAATGTTTTGGTTTTCCCTTGTAGCTGCCTTTGAGAACTGCTCCTTCTGTGTCAGGCACGAAGAAAGACCTTTGTACCTGAAAGCTGAGATTGTTTCATCCTAACCTCTCCCCCTTTATTGTAAGATACTGCATCCACTCACAAGTCTGAAATAGGCTGAGCACTGTGAGGAGGTGCTTGGAGTTTGTCTGATGTGCTTTGGAGCTGTCTCAAATGATTCCAACACTGAGACCTGGCTTGGGAAGGGGATGGGACATCTGAAGGTAAAAATCTCTTCAGCTGAATTTGGAAGAAAGTTTCTGCCTGTGGCCATGCTTGTGTAAATAAATTGGTGTGACTTAGCTGGAAGTGGATAAGAGAGGAAACACAACTACTGCTCTGCCACTGCAGCTGTAGGTAGGGAAACAGCAGCTGGGGGAGCACCACAGGGACCTGCGTGCTTCCCAAACCTGTCCAGAGCTGGGAAAAACAATCCCTGCACACCGAGAAGCACAGCATGCCCTTCTGTGTGTGACCAGCATACAGGCCAGCACAGAAGCCCAGTGTGAAGGGGAGAGAGGATTCTGATGTTATTTTTCCAAATCCCCTTGAGGAGCAGCTGTGCTGTTTTTTCACTAAGTCCATTCACACAGCATGGAGCACTGGCACTGCTCATTTCAGGCTGCTTGGCAAAGCCAGTGAGTGGGAAGGGGCAGCAGTCCTTATCCATTCAGCTGCAGCTCCCCTCCCAGAGAGTGGGAAGGGGCAGCAGTCCTTATCCATGGCAGAGCACTCTCAGGATTGCTGGGAGCAAAGCCTCCTTTGGAGGGCTTCAGCTGGTCCTGGCTGCAGCACAATGGCTTTTCAGAGCTCCTTGGCTTTTGCTGCACTTGGCTTGTCCCCATCTTGTTCTAGCTTGGCTTTGTTCCCCTGCTTTGCTCTGGACCTGTCTTCTCTCTCATCTCCCTTTCAACCTCTGTTCTCTCTTCCATTCTGGCACTGCCCTCCCTCTAATCCCAGGGATTTCTCAGGGAACTCCAGGCCCCTCAATCTGGTGACTCTGTAGTCCCTGCAGGTGGAGGCTGATACTCCCCAGGTCAGCAGCCCCTTTAGTCCAGCTGGTAGCACTGCCAGAGCAATGAGTGACACCAATTTACCATGGAGCGAGTGCCTGTGGTGTGAGCAGCATCAGCATCTCATTCCCAGGGAAGACATTGTGTGGAAGGACCCCTTTTTACCTAAAAATGAACATTCCTGTTGCAGAACTTGGAGGAAGTCCCAGAACAGCTCAGTTTCATATGAATTATTCTGAATTATTCTGAATTATTCTATGGACTGTCCCCCAGGCTGGTGTAATCTCACTGGCTTGTTACAGGTGTAGACAAGAACCCAGTCACGTTTGCCAGATGGAAACACCAATAGATCTTCATGAATTTTTCCCTTGGTGATTGCCCAGACACTGGCTTGGACAAAAGAAAACCTGACCATTTGGAATTCCTTCAGTCGTTTTGCTGCACCTCTACTTTATGATTCACTTTGTTGGAACTGGGGAAGTGAAACACAGGATAGAATTGGGCTGTTGACCCAGCCAGGAGGGGGCTAGATGGGGAAAAGGGAATAACTTTCTCATTTTCTTCCTCAGAATCTGAAAAATTTAAGATTCCTTTCAGTCTGCAGAAGCTCCAATGCAAGCAGGATTTTCCTAGTGGAGATTTTTGCATGCTCTTTTAAAGTTCACCGTACCTATTCCCTTTTCATTCAATTACTGTTCTGTAATAATTCTTGTTCAAAACCACCCAAATGACAGGAGAGCAGCAAATATGTTCTGAAAAAACATTGGCAGGGAGGTGTGAGAATTGCACCCAGCAATTCTGTTCTGGGCAAGTGAAAAGAAACTTTTGAAGAATTTCAATATGTAAAATCAGGTTTAGTATGACAGAGTGGCAAGACTCAAGACCATTTGCATAGAGAACAAGAATACAGCAGAACCATATAAAGTGCTGACAAAGGAACTAGGACAAAGAGAGGCAGTGTACAGACTGGGAACCTTCAGTCTAGTCAAGAGATGGCTGAAGAGAGTGACAGGAGTTTATATTGGCCAGAGAATGGCTGTTTGCTGTCCCTTTGCAAACAGGCAGTGGGATGCACTGGACAAAACCTGCTGGAGACAGGGGCAGAGCAAACATGAGGATGATGCTCTTGACCTGTTCCTGCTGCTGGAAATCTGCTGCTGTGCCTCCTACAAGATGTGCATTTTTTTCTCCTCAAAATCCAAAAAGTTCCTGTTATATCCAAACTGTTACCCACAATTATAATGGGGTCATCAGAACACTCATGCATCCTTCTCACTCCGCACCTTGTCCTGTTTTATTCCCTGAGACATTTTATTTCTACATGACATGGTGCCTCTTGCTTTGTGACTGCACTAAAAGCTGTCTGGGCCAGAGAAATGATGTCAATTGCACTGCCAGGGGTCATCATACCTTTAGGTATTGTCAATTTATTAAATAAAAATCACAATGTGAAATATTTTGGCCTGTTACTCCAGTTTTAAGCATAGTACTCATTTCTATGGGTTTGCAGTTTAATCTCCATGTGGATATTCCTTAACCTTCCCACTCCATCTTGCTGCTCCAGCTGTGGTTTTGTAGAGCTGGGAAGTGGCAGAGATGATATTTTCAACACCTCTAAACACTTGAAGTTTAAAAAGTGACTTAAAGCATAAGAAGAAGACTTCCAGGCATGGATACCATGATAAAAGAAATGCAAATATCTGCAGATATCTATTTTTACATTGATCTGCCTACACTTTTCCTTCCTCACAGTCAGGGCTGTCATCATTTGATTCCTGCTCTGAACCATGAACTTTCTGAAAGCCTGCTAAGACATCAGCTTGTCTCCATTAGCCTTGAGCACCTTTTGCTGTTTAAATCACAGTAAGTGACACTGCACCTTTCTGCAAAATTTAAGTGACAAAACTATAGATTGTTCTCTTTGTCAAGAGAGTCTGAAAATGGGGCAGGACTGGCAACCCTCCCATTATTCTTCATCTCTTCACTTTTATTTGAGTGTTCAAATCAGCTGGAAAGACTGCTGGCTGGTGATGCAAGTTAGACCCTTCCACAGAGCAAGCAGGATGCAGATTTCAAGGGAGAACAATGTTCAGTTTCTTGTTTAGGTGTGGAGGGATCTGAATATTCTCTGTGTGCATTAATAGCTGCACTTAATGTTCATGCTCAGGCAAACAGAATGGTAGCCTCAGCCCCAAGCTACATCTCATTGTTAGATGTTTTCTAAGAATTGATGCTTTTCTTTTAAAACTTTCTTTTTACCCAATTATTTTATTTTATTCCTAAAGTCCATAAAGTATTTGGCTATGCAAAAGCAACACAGGCAGAAAATGTGGGCAACACAGAGAGACAAATGAAGGAAACCCATCACTGGGATTTTTGTGCAGTTAGGGACCCATGTGAATTGTTAGAGAAAGAGAAAAACACAGCTTCTATCCAGCTTTAAGTGCTAAAAGTGTTTATAACATGACATTTTGATGTGTATAAGGATATTCATCTATGGGAGTTTTCTACAAAATAGAAAGTGTAGGAGCTTTTCTTTATAAGAGAGTTTCATCTTGTCCAAATTAATGGACAGATCTGCTAACAGAAAGTAGCTTTTAATACTAAATCTCCACTAACTTTTGTTAAGTTAATTTAGGCAACCAAGATTAACAAAATCTGTTGTTTTGTGTGGCTTCTGCATTGAACCATATGAAACAGCATCTTCCTTTGCATTAATTCCAATAGGCTTTAAAGTCCACAGGTTTAGTGAGGTTGCATCTATTAATCTTTTGACTGCAGCCTGTCAAGATGACCATGCAGTTTCACCTGGAAACTTTTCACTTTAATGTGGGGTCTGGGGAGAGACACAAACTTCAGGACAAAGCCCACAGTTACCAATGTTTGTGACTGCCTAAATTCCAGGCTTTCATGGAGGCCACCTGCCTTGCTAAAACTTGTCTCAAAGTTCTGGGCATTGTGGGCTATTTTATTTCCTCGGTTAAAGAGCAGAACTTCATCCATGCACTAAATTTGTTACACAAGGCTTCTTGCCTAAGCAGCTCTTGCATTCATCCTGGACTGTAACACAGCATCCAGCCTGTGAACCGTGTCTGGTTTCAGCCAGCAGCACTAAATATAACTGATGCACAATTCCACAATCTGGGCTTGCCCCGAAGCAGGACCTGAACAATGTTTAAATGCCTTTTGACAGCTGGTATGATGCACATTTGTTTTATGTACAATTTTACACATGGAAGGTTGAACCACGTCCTAGGAAGTCAATAGCTTTCCTAAACAATAATGAGCTCTCCCCACCTGCCCTTTCTGTAAGCACAGGCTGTGCAGAGAACTGCCTGTCTTCAGTCACTCTGGTTTTGGTAGCCATGGAATAATCTGCCCAAATCCCAGCACTTAAAATATCAACCAACACTTTCTTCCCAAACACATAAATTCGAGAAAGGATTTTTACACACAAGTAAAGCAAGTAAATAATGACATGCCTATGT